GTTCTAACATCTAGAAATCTAACAAGCGTGACCTCAAAATATCAAGACAGAAAATTTTATCTTGATGGTCCTCTGACCTGAACACCATAGAAAACCTGTGGATTATAGCAAAGCTCAAAGGGTGTGTCACTGAAGTCTTTTGCAGCAGTATTTTATTTTATTTTTTTATAAATCCTACAAAAAAACAATCCAGAAGTTTTCAAAGGGGATTTTAACCAAGTACAGATTGTCTAATTGCTTTTTTAAAACCTACACAAGGTAAATGGACTGTACTTACAAATCACCTTTCTAGCCAACTGGGCTACTCAAAGCACTTTACAACACAATCGGTGCCTTCATTAAACCATCCACACATACAGCACTCTGCTACATCGCTACAAAGCTAATTTGGATGAATCATTCTATCCTAATCTAATCTAGAGTCTAATCAGTGATTTGGAATGCATACACGGATGGGGCCCACATTGGAGGCAATGAGGGGTTCAGTGTCTTGCTCACTTCAACATGCAACAATTTCCAGCGCGATCAATAAATTCCTTATCTTATCTTATACTGGTGGAATAGAACCCCCACCTCCTGTGCTCTAACCACAGAGTCATAGATGTCCTAAAAATCCTCTAAAGTTGGCAAAAATATGTACTGTAGACTAGAATACAAAACTATAGCACCATCTTCATGATGTTTTGTAAACGGTTCTATTCTTTAGCTGTTCACATTAGCAAAAAACTTGTGAACGTGCATCAGGTTTGCATAACAGCATTCTCTGGTGAACTCACCTATGGCCAGTCTGGTGGGCTTTTTCTTGGGTGGGTGTCCAGAGCCAGAGTTACTGTCATCTTCCTTCTGTGAACAAAAAAAAACAACATGACGTTATAAAGAGAAAAAATGTGCTTGTGCCAAACATTCAGCTGCATGATGTCCATGAGAGGTGGATTTTAAAAGTCTACCTTGGCCTTCCGAGTCCGGGTGATGTGCAAGTAAGCTCTCTGCCCAGTCCGAGCATGGTGCCTGTCCACATACTGACTGCCAAAACCCAGGAAACTGTTCATGCACACATACAGGCCTCCTTCACTCTCCTATAAAGAAAGCACATGGATTTTAACTGTGACAACCTTGTCCTTCTTATCATCTTATCACAACATAATAATAAAATATGCCATACCACTTTATTTATAAAGCCCTTAAAAACAGCAAGGCTAACCAAAGTGCTGTACAGTACAACAAAACAAATAGCAAAGGGCACAGGATAAAATACATAAAATCCACAGAGGTAAAGATAATAAACCAAATGACAAAAATAATAAAAATGGTGAAGTTAAAATCAATTCACACTGGATAGAAAGCCAGGGAACAGTGAGAGAAGGGCCTGACATGCTGTGGTAAGTCATTCCACAGTTTTGGACCTGCAACAGATAAGGCCCTGTCACCTCTGAGCTTGAAACGTGTGCGTGAATATGGAACCAGTGGGTGCACCAAAGCATCAGCTGGTGTAACCGCCACAGCTACTTTTAGCTCCTCTAACAGTTAGCTAACGTTTACTACAAAGCAACTAACGTTCGTTATTCTAAGTTGGTAAAAAAAAACGTAAATAAATGTATTATTACGTTGATTTAAAAAGTTATAATAAGGCCATTAACACTTCTGACAGCTGTGACCATAAAACAACTGCATTAAGTTGCTGTCTAGTTTGACAGTAAAGCAGCTGAGATAGCTAAAAAAAAAAAAAAAAAAATTAAAAAAAAAAACAAGTGCGGCGGCTAACTTTCCATTACAATGCAATGTTAGCTTAGCTTGACGCTAGCTTGTCAGTTAGCTTAGGGAGGGAAATACGTTAAACCAGTTTGTCAAAGTGGGCCAAAATGATAGGTCAGACTGAAGTAACTGGGACACATGCGATAAGAAACAAACCGCCGCTCTTTTGGTTAGCTAAGGGTTCAATTTATAAAAGAAAATGCTCACCGGCGAAGCAAATGACAGGGCGCATTCATCTTTGTGGACTCGGTCTCCCGGCTTTGGAACACGAATTGTGGATAAAACGGACATCAAAACCTCACCGACGTCCGCCATCGTAAATTCACAAATTTTGCTATTCAATGGGAATTCTTTTTTTCTGCGAGTTTGTCCACTGAACCTGTCGATTACCCGTCTGCCGTCTAGCCTACCAGCTACTGCTACTGTGTGTTTTGGCCCGAATGAATCATGAGATGCTGCCTTGTGTGGGAAGGCCGAGCGCGAGCTGTATGGCAAGCCAATTTATCATATAATAGTAAGCTCTGCTCTTCAAGACAAACGTTCATAATTCAATCCTAGTCTAAATGACCATTTTAATCGAGTATTCTGTCATTCCTCCTTTTCAAACCCCTATCCGAAAGGCAAAAATGTAGTGCTTTTGCACATGTATGAGGTTCCACCTTATAAACGTGCCACCTTAAAATTATGTAGGCCAGGAAAATGTCCCCCACAAGAACAATAGTTATTTGATGTTATTTGTTTTTGATCTGAAGCTGTCTGCACTGAAGTTATCATCAACAAGAGTAAAACAAACAAATAAATAAATAAACAGATAGAAATTGGAAACTTGTTGATGCTGGAAAAACAAGACCTCTCAACTTTTCATAATATGGATGTTTACGCCTATGACAATTTGCAATGTGCTGTATTATCAAAATACATGTTACTTAAATATGTATGTACAGTATGCATTTTCCTTGGGACCCTATGTACATAATTTCATTCCACCTTATGTACCACATGATGGAAATGACAATAAAGTTGACTTTAACTTGAATGTATGTATGTATTTACTGTATGTAAAGTGGTCTTTGACCGTTTGTGAACTCTAGAATTGTCTATATTTCTGCATAAATATGACTTAAAGCATCATCAGATTTTCACACAAGTCCTAAAAGTAGATAAAGAGAATCCATTTAAACAAATGAGACAAAAATATTATACTTGGTCTTTTATTTATTGAGGAAAATGATCCAAAATTACACATTTGTGAGTGGAAAAAGTATGTGACCCTCTAGGATTAGCACTTATCACCACCATCACCATCTAGCAAGCCTGGGTTTACATTAACATGAGGATCTGTGATAGCCTTTCCAGCCTGAGCATTATTCACATTGTAAAGTTTTATAAAGTCCCTTTATTAATATGATCACATGTAATATCTGTTTATTTTCATTTAACAGGTGGTTAGATTTACTGTATACTGTCAAACTCTGCATCAGGCAGAAACATGTTGCAAGAAGATTGGACTCTGATCTTAAAAGAGTCTGTTCATCAGAAGCTGACTAAACTGGTACTGTTCAAAGACCAGTAATTAAACTGTTTTGACAATGGAAAAACCTACTTCTTTCATAATCCACATCATAGTTTGCATGCACCTCCTTTGGTTGCTCCTCATTCCAGTTCGATGCTGCTGGTGACTGGAACCATCTGCAATGGGTCTTAAAGCTCGGCTCATTTATTTTACTCTCTTTTTAAAATTTAATATGTTCATTAGATCACTGTACTTGCTTTTAGTTTCAAAATGCCTGTCACTGTTCTTATTGTTCACATAATGCTTAAAAAAATTAGTTCACTTGTGCATACTGTGTTGTTCTGTATGAACCGTATGAACTGAAGCTGTCCACCTTAATTTCTTTAGGGGATTTTAAGCATTTTATAAGGTCAATATAAACATCAAAGCAAATATGTTCGTTTTTAGTATTTTACCTTGTTTTATACGGCACCTTGATTTTATTGTTTATAACACTACTTTTATTTTAATTGCATTTTACTGTAGTTGTTGTCTGTACCTGTCTGTCTAAAACAGATCTCTTGTAAATGAGTCCTTGTGACTCAATGAGACTAACCTGTTTAAATAAAGGTTGAACGAGCATGTATGGTTTATATAGCCCTGTGCCTTTAAGAGGACTTTTTCAGGCCAATGCCTCTGGACTTGCGCAGAACGTCTGTAGAATTTGTAGTGTAGTTTGATTATATGCTACAACGGCCTGCCACATAATGTCTTTACCGTAAACCACAAAGTATGGAAAACCACAAATTCTTTTCAGCTAAGAAATGTACATTGCGAGTATTTTTAGCCACATTATGTCACTGTTTGAAATGTAACTTGTGCATGGGACATCAGTTATTTGTTGCGTTTCTGTACGCCCACTGTTTTGTTAATACGGTAATCGCTGTTTAACGCGGAACACACCGCCCTCTTGCGGTCATATGAAGTATTGCAGTTCCAAAAACTACACACAAACGCAAGTGAATCATGTCGAAGCAAACAAATGATTAAACTTGTTAAAACAAAGTAAAAATTGAAGTAGTCAGCGCTTTTTTTTCCCCCACCCCAGGGATGAATCTTTCTGGATCGACTCCTCCTTCGTTTTACCGCTTAAAGCTCACTCCTCCTCTTCCTTTAAGTCGGTCTCCTGCGCCACCGGGTCTGGGTCTGCTCGGACCATGGCGCTGCGCTCCCAGCTCCTCGCTGTATACGTGGCGTTTTGTTGCGCGGCTTTGTTGAAGTCGTCGCTCGGCAGCAGCTCCAATGTTTTGTCCCTCATGCAGCCGTATGATTTCCTGTATTACAGCGGGGTCCGGGCTTATTACGGAGAGGAGTGGGGAAAGGCTGCGGAGCTGCTGGAGAGGTCCATCGGAACCAAGGAGACCCTGCAGAGAGTCCGCAGACAGTGTCACCAGAACTGTGAGGCAGCTGGCTCTGACGCTTTCAATAAACTTGGTAAAATCAAACATAATCCAACAGATTAATATACCTGTAATAAATTAACACAAATGAGCATGCCTAAATTGTACTGTTTATGTTTGATTAAATCAGACACGTTTTAATTAGGAAGATTAAAAAGTAATTACATAGTTTGTCTAACAATAATAATGAACATTATTTTGGTTTTATTTGGACCTGAACCCCACCTCAGAGTGGGATTAAAAAATTGTGTCAAACTAAAATAATAAAAACGGACAAAAATATACTAAACCCCAGAGTTATTATAGATTGAGACTTAATGAAACAAACTATAATTGTTTTTTTTTTATGTAAACTGCAGACAAACAAAACAACAACTGTATTTAACCATCAAAATCATAATTAAAAAAAAGTATTTTTGTTTTATTTTTTATTTACTGTAAATAATTGAAATGTCTAAGTTTTTAAAGGTTTTTCTTTCTAAGAATAGTCTTTTCACCCTTCCTTTAAAAAAAAATCTTATTAAGTCATATTTTGCAGATTTATTGAAGCATTTGTTGATACACAAATACAGTAAACACTGTTGGTGCTTTGTGGGAGCTTTGGGCCTAAAACTGAGCTCTAAATACACATTAGCAAGGCTTTGGATCAATTTAAGTTATGGATGGAAGACTACGTGACTTTAGAGGTTTTGGTGTTTTAAATGACGTATGTGAATATGCAGTCCAAATAAATCAAAAAGAACATCAGACCAGTCCCAATAAATTCAAATTTAATAAATGGACAAACAGAAAAGTTGAGAAGCATTTGAAGGGTCTTGAGAAAACTGGGTGAGATAATCAAAACTAAACCTAATTTGAAACTGTCGTCTTTTAGATTATCTTGCAGCTCTGCAATAAAAACAGATATAATTACGTGGTGGAAGTCATGAGAGGGAAAACAAACCATTTCTCAGAGCAGTAACACCTACCAATTAAACACAGGGCTGGAAACTAGATGATTTTTCTCTGTTTTTAGCTGGGGGGTTTATAATTTCCACCACAAAGACTCATTGTGCATAAAAAGCATTAAGTGTGACTGTGAGGGATGTTTTCTGTAATGTTAGATTCTGAGGAGGGGCACATGTGGGACCTCTGGGCCTTGGACTGGGTTCAGCAGAGGGCTGAGTGTTTGAGGTTCTGTATCGGACAATCTGTCTCACCTACGGCTCAGCTTCCTGTTTCCACTGACATCGAATATGAATTTGACATCCGCAACCCCTACAACTTCCTGCAGGTCACTTTCTACAAGGTGAGTCGTTCTTTGGACAGCCATGAATAAACTCGTACGTTTATCTCTAATGATGCTGCCATAGCGCTGTTCACACTCTGCATTTCTTCTTCTGCAGCTGGAAAAGTTGAAAAAGGCGGCCACAGCAGCTCACACCTACTTTGTGGCCAACCCGAGTCACCTGGAGATGAGAAACAACATTGAGAAGTACAGACGGATGGAGGGCGTGACGGAGGAGGATTTCCAGGACCGGGAGGCGGAGAAAGAGAGACACTGGGTGAGCTGGGAAGGAACGGGACGAGCGTTCGTACGTCTCGGAGCATGTGCTGAGGACGACTCTCAGCTACTACCATGTTAAGCCCATTATCTGAGTTACAACCATATGTGTATTGGTTAATCTGGATTAGCTGTGGCGGCCCAGTGGCAATTTTAGCCTCTTTTTGGGAACCCCTAAATTTTAACTCAGCACCCCTGAAAAATTAAGAAACCATCATTAGGATTTTGTAAGGAAACTCAGTTCTCAAACCTTAGATTTTTCAAAATATTGATTACATTTGGAACAAATGATTGTCTTAAATGGGCCAGTAAAATCTATAAATGTATTTTTTTTTTTTTTGCACAAGTTGGATCCTCGACCCCACCTGTCAATCAGTCCGGTAGGCTTGTCAGCAACTGGCCAGTCGGCAATCTCAATTTGTCCCAAAGGTGAATGCCCCTTACCTGCAGGAACTGCACCCCCTTTACCTCCAACAACATTCACTAGGTTAGCACTATGTTAATGCCAGCAGTTGTCGATGGGTGGGGTGGATGCATGAGAGAAGTGGAGCGTACTCTATTCACACAGGGAGAGCTGTTGGTCAGGCTACTTCTTTTTGTGCCATTAACTCTAAAATAGTTATTGAATCAAGTGTTTACTTATGTAGGTAAACATAGATGTTTAACAACCCGTTAAAATACACCAGAATGCAGGAAATGGCATCTCCTTTATTCAAAATTTTCTGCAGGAGGACCCCCAGACCCCTCTCTTGAATGGAGTTGACTCTAATTGGTAAAAAGTTTTAAATTTACATCCAGTTATTACCTCCTGAGAGTTTCACCTAAATCAGTCGCTCTGGTTCATCAGATATTTTGCTAACACTGCAGACAAATTAACATACAAATGTAGGTTATTATAACATTGTCGCCCTCAGTGGTGGGCGATAATGTTGCCGTCAAATTAGAAACGACACAAGTTAAAGTCCTCTTCCACAGAAAACACATTAAAGTACTTTCGCTTTTTTAAATTGGACAGTGTCAAGTTTAAAATAGTGACATTAAAAATAATTCAGCTCTGAGTTGGTGTGGTTTGCGACAAAATATTTCATATACTTATACTTTATATACTTCATACTCAACCTTCCTGCTTCCTTTGGGTCAAAATGACCTATATGACGTGTCAGTTTTAAAACTGAGGCCTTATGGGCCCATTTTGACCCAAGTCCATTTGGCTTACAAGACCCCAGTTTTTAAAATGAGGTTGAAATTTTGACCCAAGGGCAGCAGGAGGGTTGACCTTTTAGTCATAAAGAGAATGCCCCTAAGAGGCTTGTGTCTTCAATAATATTTAATGGTTTTGTCAGTATTGCTTGCAGTCATGAAAGAAAAGGAATCAATTAATATTTGTGTTTAGATTTGTCTGTTAGCAAAATATCTCGCAGCTACAACTGATTATCTTTTGGAGTCAACCAGTTTCATGATGGCTGCCATAGCTAATTGACTTTAAAAAACACATAAATGCTCATCATTCAGTCATGATTAGTGGTTTTGAGCTAAGACTTGCTGTGGTAGTAGCTGAGAGTCATCCCCAGCACACACTCTGAGTGCTGCCAGATGGTCTTTGTTTAAGACTTTATCATGTAAGGTTGCAAGCGACATGCATTCCTTCAAGGAATCTTTATTGTTCAAACAATATTTTCCCCTCATCTCTGATCTCTTTTCTCTTGTTTTAGTTTTTAATCCATGCATCATTCCGTTTTTTTTTTAATTCATTGGAAGCCAGCAGCTCTCACATACATTCTGTTTTCCTATCTCAGATCCAGTATGATGCAGCTCTCCAGCACGAAACCTCCTCTGACTGGAAGCAGGCGGCGGAGAAGTGGAAAGCTTGTGTGACCGAGACTCTGCGGCAGACGGAAGAGTGCAGGGTGCAGTGTGAGGTCACCCCGCAGCGGCTGCCCGAGGACCGCGGGGTGGACAGCGTGGACGGGGTCTTCGAGAAGGCTGCAGGTAAGAATAAGCGAGACGGCTTTTTGTCGCTTGGAAACGAACCGAGCCTAATCACGAGTCACAAGCACATCCTTTGGATTCGGAGAAGAAGATGCATCAAACAGTTTGTTTGTCTGTTAGGAAACACATCAATTACTTTGAGTTGTTACAGATATTGACCTAAAGCTACATGAGACCTTTGTTTAAAACTAGGGCAACAGGCAAAATGTTAAGGCATGTTAAAACTAGCAGTTTTAACATGCCCTTTCTTCTCTTTTCAGCTCTTTCTCTGTCTCTGCTGATGTGCCGTCAGTCCTGCGTGACTCAGGTCGCCACACGACCCGGGAGGATATCTGCTCAGGAGGACTTCCTGCCGACGCAGCTGGAGCATCTGCACATTTCACAGTTTAAATGTCAGGATTTGGAGAGAAAACTAAAGATCCGTTAATGTGCTATTATTATTGTCGGCTTTATGGTGAACCTTTGTTTCCCAACAGCTGGTGATGTTCGTGGAGCCCTGCAGAGTCTTCACTCCTATCTCTTGTTTTACCCCGCTGATAAGGACTCCTTAGACAACCTGCAGCTCTACCAAGAGACACTAGGGGGCGACGCGGAGTCACAAGATGCACAACCTGCTCAGGTATGGCTCCAGAGTGTGTTCATTGTGAAATGATCTTAGTTTGAGCTAAATATTTTGCGTGTAGACTTGTTTTTGACTTGATAAACAGGGAAAATGTTTCAAACTCACCTTGATGTTCAAGCTTGACCAAAAGGTTTATGTGTTTTAATCAAACAGGAGATTGTCACATACATCAGTCGGTCCTTGCAGGAGAAGAAACTGCTTTACTTTGGTGTGGAGAACCTGGAGTTCAGTTTCACAGACCCAGTAAGGCTTGATGTCAAATAAAAAGACAAAGTTTTAAAGTCTTTGTCCCCTGAGTTCATCATTCATCCTCTCTGTAGGACCTTTGGACTCCAGAAGATGTTGTGCCTGAATCAATAAGGGAAGATTGGAGGTGAGACAAATGGAGACAAAGTCAGTCAATAACTCACTGAATGAAATGGATGCTCAGCCCTGTTTTTTTTTTTTTAAACTGCCAGAGTGGAAAAAGAGAAATTAAATAATAAATTAAAAGAAGGAAACCAGCTGGAAGAAGTGGATGATAGTGGGTTTTTTGCAGGTAAAAAAACAATTTTTAATTGTAAATTGTTTTAAATTGTCCCATGATTTAACTAGTTTCCGGTCTCATCCTTCACGATTCCTTCCCTCAACAGGGGGTGCAGTCCCTCAGGTGGGTGTGACCATAGCCATGGACGACGAAGCTCTGAACGGGACCAATCGAGTTCTCTTCGATGGAGTCATGACTGAGAAGGAGTGTGGCCAAACACTGCAGTTAGCATCTGTAGGTTCCTTTAATTAGAGGCTTGTCTTCATCCGAACCACACCAGCACCTCCACCTTCCTGTTTGCGTCATCTTTCATAGGTTGCAGCATCTCTCGGAGATGGTTACCGAGGACGGCGCTCTCCACACACACCTCACGAGACTTTCGAAGGTCTTACTGTCCTTAGGGCCGCTAAGGTGGGAGGAAAGGAGGTGAAGCGAACGGGAATATGCCATCTTGCAGGAAATGTGTTGAACTCTACAGTTTGTTCTCTTACAGCTGTCTCAGGAAGGCCTGGTCAACCAGTCGGATGCTATGTTGCTACACGAGCTGGGCGAAAGAGTGAGAGCGCTGCTGCACTCGTACTTCAGGAGCCCCTCAGAACTTTTTGTTTCTTTTACACACTTGGTGTGCCGTAGTGCCATTGCAGGTAGACTCAACATCACTCACGTTCGACTTAATATTATTTGCTCAAATTAAATTACCTTTAATTTCACCACTGTGGATTCACTTAGATTGTTCCATAGATGTCATTAAAATACTAAGAGCTTTAACTCGCTGGGAGTTGAAGCCACCAGGATCCGGTTTACGGTAGCCGCCTTGTGTTTTTGTAACCATAGTCTGTGCTCTAGTGATGTGGGACTTTAAGTCCTGTCTACTCCCCTAAAAACGATCATGAAGTGAAATGAGCTTTCCATTAAGCGCAATGCAGTAACCCCTCACTTATTGCGAGAGTTATGTTCCAGACACCCCTTCGATAGGTGAAAATCCACAAAGTATGTACGTTCGGTTCAGGTCGTGCTTGATTATTTTAAATAAACAATCCATGCCGCTCGTGCGACTCACTCAGGTATAAGACAGGCACACACCCCCCCGCCACCTCCTTTTTTTTTTTTGAGGCTGTCTGTTGCACGCCCGACAGTTGTGTATCCCTACTTTGCTGTCTGCTGCTTCAAAAGGAGAAATTAGGGGTTGGGGGTCTGTCTTATACCCGAGTGGGCCGCACTCAGCCACTCTCTCTCTTTGTTTAAACTGATTCACCCTAATTTTCTCCGATATTCTACATTTGTTCATCTGATCCGTTCATCCCTGCTCCCTGAGCAGTAACAATGGAGAAAGTCAGACCCCACCCCCTCCTTTCTCTTTTTGAGGCTGTCTGTCACAGCAGAGCAGACAGCCTCAGAAAGAGAAAGGAGGAGGCGGGATGAGGCCTGTCTTTCCTGTCGGATTCTTTCCTTTCCTGTCTTTCCCCACTGCCACATGTGTCGTGTACAATTTTACATTGAAAACCTGAGAAAGAGTGAGTTTGCGAAAGTCGAACTGCGTAGTATCGAGGGAATACTGTATAGCTAGTTACAATTGAACTTGTAAGAAAAATTCATCTTTGATCATACATCAGTAAGGTAAGAACTAGTAATCAACCAGAATGAACAGCTAAAAAAATCTTAGGCATATTTTTTAAAAATTTATTTTACAAAAGCAACGTCATGTTTACGTGGGAGGGTATGACTTAAAACCTGTACTGGGACCATCCTGTGGGGATGCTATAATGGCTCCTGCTTCAACTTTAGGGTTCCTGTATGGGGTTTAGGTATTTTAATATGTGTCTGTTTGTTATTCTGATTATAATAATATAATCTGAATTTTCTTTTCATTCAGGTGATCAGGAAGGCAGGCTGGATCTGTCACACCCTATTCATGTTGACAACTGTCTTCTTGAGCCTGAAACCAAGCAGTGTTGGAAGGAACCGCCTGCGTTTATACACAGAGATCTCAGGTAAAGTCCTGACCCTAATTGATTTATAATTTGCATCCATGGAGTTGGATATTGTTGTAATATTTAAATAGGTCATATTCAAAAGCTCTTTTATTTAGTATTCAGTACAGTACATGAACATCTTCAGATTTTTTTTTTTCCTCTGGTAAACCACATAATCCTGATCTATAAATCATAGTGCCATTCTATACCTGAATGATGACTTTGAAGGAGGCGAGTTCTTCTTCACTAAAAGAGATGCCAAGACGGTATCGGTAAGTCACTTTGTTTTGAGTGCCAAATATATGTGGAAAATGATTTTTGGGTCAGATCTGGTCATGGTTGGACTTTTCTGCCTTTGTCCTCATCTACAGGCTCGAGTTAAGCCCAGTTGTGGTCGATTGCTGGGTTTTTCCTCAGGCCAAGTAAATCCACATGGTGTTACTGCTGTGACAAAAGGCCGGCGGTGCGCGCTGGCCCTGTGGTTCACTAAAGAGAAGCTCTACAGGGACATGGTGAGCATTAGCCGTGACCTCCTCCCCTTCAGGTCAGGACTGTCACCTGCGGTCCTCTTTGCTGATGTCGTGACATCGGTGTTGGATAATAAGACTAGCTCGAGCACCATGCAAATCTGTTGGTTGTTTGCATGTTAATGCTCATTTACCCTACTTGACTGTGCCATGTCATTGTCCATAAGATCTATCTAATGGGTTCTTGTCAAACTAATTTTATTTTATAGGGTAATCAATCTGTAAACCTAAATATTTTAAGTAATATTGTAGTAAAAATATATTTATTTTTAACATAATTTAAATTCATATATTTTAAGTCATTCAATTAAAAGATTGTAAGAATTTAAAAGAACAGTAATTTTGTGGAAACATGGATAGAAAAAATATAAGGTCTCGTCATTTGTAATGTAATGGAGAAAAAACAAAACATTTTATTAATTCTTCTATTAATTGAGGAAAAAAACTAGTCTTAAAAGTTTTAGTTCAGACACATTGTTGCTGACAAATCACAGCACTTGCATCATCTTTTTGAATTGCTCTCAAAAGTTTGCTTTCCAAATACCTGTGGACGTAACTTGTCAATTCACTAATTTTGGTTTGATTTATAGGGCCTTTTTTTTTTTACAAGAACCATGTTTAAAAGTCACCATTTGTTCACATAACTTTAGTTAAATCTTTTTTTTTTTTTAACTTCACAGATAACAGCTTAGCAAAGGAACCAATTCAGTGTTTCCCCTACCCCGTCCCATCAACAGAACAGAGTGCCCTGCCTACCAAATTTACCCCCCACTCCCCCGACAACTGTTGGTATTGATGTAGCGAAGAGCACAATAAAGACGTGCTAGCAAAAATGCTACTGACATACAACTCCACCCCCACACGCCCCCATCGATAAAAACCAGCCGCAACGTAGCACTAAGCTAGCAGGCGGGCAACACAGATGTGACTCTGCCCCTTCTTCAATTAAATTCAATTTATTTATATAGCGCCAAGTCAAACAGAACTTATCTCAGGGCACTGAACAAATACATTCAAACATTCAATTAGTAACATTTATCTAAGGCAGGGTAGGGTAGCCAGCAGATTACGGTTCTGTGAAGAGAGGTGCATTTTCAAGATCCATTCAGTTTAAAGAGTCATTCAGTTTTGAACGGTAGTGATGTCATTACGTACGACCCACGTAGTGACGTATGATCTACTACATAGAGCCTACATATGGCTTACGTAGTTGTACATTGTGATATCCAATGTAGGGTCATACCACGTGATTTGTCAAGCAGGCAACCCCCCATTTCCTCCTGTGTGCATGTTTCTCATACACAACTACTGCTGTCCTCTTCCTTGCCTGTTTTTCTTCGTCTCAGTGGAAAATCAAAGGAGGAGGTTGTCTGTGACGTGGTACCTATCGTTTGTTGCAAAGATTTGGATTGTTTGCAAACGCCACACCTCTACTTCTCATTTCTGTATGGTTTTTTTCAAAGAGCTGTTAGCTGAATGATGCACGTCTTAGGTCCTGTGCCAGATATGGGCTGTATTTTTTCCTATTAAAGGCATAACTTGCAGATGGTTCAGTTGCTGCCGTTTTTAGGTTTGACACTTATTTCTGCATTTGTCAATTATTTTTTTTTACATGCTCTTATGATCAGGAACAAAGACTGGACAGAAAATTAGTGAAAAGCAACCAAGGTCCAAAAAGAAAAAAAAAAAAAAACACTTTGAACAAGCTTTTCTGGGATTCCTATGAAAAAGTTTAAAACGTGCACAGTATTGCATTCTCCAATGTTTCGCATATTTCCTGCAGGAGCGAGAGGAAGCAGAGGCCCTGTGGGCATCAGATGGGCATAAAGTGCTAAAAAATGTCGAGGAGGAGGAGGGCAGCGCCACTGCAGGCCGTAACGCTCGAAGCCATGCGCCTAAAGAAAGGAGCAGAGAGCGAAGAAGGGTGACGGGGGGAAAGGATGAGCTATGAGAGCTGGAAAAACCTTAGACACTGAAACCTTCTATGTACATTCTTCTGGAACAGTCTACCATCTAGTGGTACCACGCCATTTATACTAAATCTGCAGTTTTTACTCGAACGTTTTTTGTTCTTCACATTGATGTTTTTTTTGTCGGTTATGTCGTGTTTAAGGTGTAAATGCTTTATTTATACTGTAAATGAGGATTTTATTTCTGTGATGACGTCAGCCTGTACTGATTTAAAAAATAAAAAAACAGCATAATAAGTATTAAATGTGACCTTTTTTCAGTGAAGCATGAGTGCTGCATACTAAATGCACTGAAGTGTTGGGAGTAAGAAGAGGATTAGGACCAAGAGTGAGGTCAAAAGGGGTTAGAAAAGTGACTTGAGGCAGAACAATCAAGCAATCACCTCAAACCCTCCATAACAGCCAGAGTTAGTCCTGCTTAAAGTTCAAAGGAAGAAGTGACAACACTGTAGTATTGTAGAGGTGGAGATATGAGCATCATAAACAATAGTTTCAGGTACAAAGTGGAAGAGAACCAACTGACGGAGAGGGAGGTGCGGAGGGGGAGAAAAGGATAGAAATAGAGAGATTACTGTTAATCCCTCATAAATGAGAGCATTTGTTTATGAAGCTTAAAAAATCTTCCATTTAGAATATGGAATGGTAATCCAGAGAGAGAGCATTTAATCATACACATCCAGTGATGTGACACTCGACCCTTCTGCTTCCATCGTATCGTGTCCATAAAAACCAGTCTGCTTCAGTCAAGTGCTGTTTATGGCCCATATTAACACACTCACCCCCTCTTGTCGTAATCCCACACAGATTTGGGTCGACAGGCTTGTTTAGTGGAGCCTAAATATTATCCCTCCCCCCAAAAAAAAATAAAAAATAAGAAAACAAATTCTGCTTTCTATGTTGGCTGGAAACATAAAATTCACAGCCATCTCGTCATCTTTTTGTAATTTATGTCGTTGGTAGAAATTATGTAAGACGTAGATGTGGATTTATCTATGTGAATCAAGAGCATCCCATCGTTATAACCGCGCTGTGAGTGATGAGTAGCTCGTGGTCTACTCTTTGCAGCAAACACCACATCGGTTGTCCGCTGTTGATTTGGGGTCATCCTGAATGATGTGTTGTGTTTTTCTGGGTGTAGAAAAAAGAATAATAAGGAAGAATGAGATTTAACAGTCTCTGCTTTATTTTTATTTTTGTCACAACAGATTTTATTTAATAGCTAGCAGATCTATTTATTTATTTTACCTTTACCAGGATAAATTAAAAAAACTATTGAAATTAAAAACCCATTTTTCAAGGGAGACCTGGCCAAGAGGCAGTAGCAAATCTAACTCAAGTTCCTATAAATTGTCTATTTTGTGTGGTGTTTTCTACAGATTTAACTAATGAATTGAGAACAAATAGACGCTCAAAAAACTTCTTGTTGAACGAACATAAAAATCTTAAGGGGGGCGTGTACTGTATTTTTTAAAAGTAGGATTTGCATTAAACCAGCGAGAATAAATCTAAACTCTCAGAAGGAAACAGAGGAAGAAGTTCAATTGTTTGCTTTTTTTCAAAATGCTGTTAAAAGTTGAATAAGTTTTACTGACACTAAATCAAAATAAACTCACCTCTACAAAAGCTTGGAAATGTATTCTATTTTTTGATGCACTTTAGGGAATCAACCTAACACACGATTTTTAGAGTGGCCTTTTATTGTGGTCAGTCTAAGATACACCTGTGCAATAATCATGCTGTCTAATCAGCATCTTGATATGCCACACCTGTGGATTGTCTCAGAAAAGGAGAAGCGCTCACTAATTTACACAGATTTATGAACAATATTTGAGAGAAAAGGAATTTTATGTGCATAGAAAAAGTCATAGATCTTTGAATTCAGCTCATGAAAAATGAGTGTTTATGTCGCGTTTGTTTTTGCTCAGTGTATTTTCTTTATCATTTATACGACACACAACTGTAACTTTTGGGGTCATACCAATTCAGACAATATGAAAAAATGTCTAACAATCCATTTTACATGCATTGAACTAAACATTCCTTGAGGAGTAACATATCTTGCAAAACTCACAATCTTGAAAGATTTCACCTAACACCATTTACACATGACCCCCTTCATTTTCATCGTGAGATGATCTTAGTTTAAAACTGACAAAAACGCTGCACTAGAAGGATTGGATCCAAAGAGATGAGATGTGAATGCATGCCCTGCGTCTTTCTGCACCTCCCACTGTTTCTCCTTGTTTGCACACCTGACCCGAATCCTAATCACTGCAGGTGTTTCCCACTCATATCATTAATGTCTGTGTTTAGTCTGTGTTATCACCCCCCTGGTATCCAGGCATTATCTAACCCTTCCACGGTGTCATGGTCTGGTCTTTCTCTTCGTGTTGTCTCCCTCCTCGTTAAAGTAAGTTTTGCTGCCCTGTCAGTGTTTTTGTTTTCTAAAAAAGTTAAATCTGGTCTTCTGGACATTCAAAAAAACAAAAAAAACAAAGCAAAACAACAAAAAAATGTAGAAACGTTTCGTCTATCATCCGAGAGACTTCCTCAGTCTGAGGTGCTGTATTCAGCTCAGTCTCTTAAATAGCACCTTCTCAGAGTGGATCAACCAGTTTGCTGCTGACAACCAAAACCAGCTGATCACATGCTCAAGAAGGACCATCAGCCTAACAATGGATCATTAGCACACTGATGGCTGTTTACTATTCACAGAGGGCTGAGTGATACTAGCAATCACAGCATTGTAAGAGGGGGACAATTGAACACGTAGGCCCCCACCCCTGTTTCACGATGGACGGTTTCTTTTCACAAAGATGGCCTCCTTTACTCCTCTCTCAAACCATCGTTCCTCTCTATCCAGGATGTGCACATCTTCATCCCTGAAAGAGTGACCGCTGCCCTGGAGATGAGTGTAGACCGCAGAGTCCTGGCCTGATGATGTTGATCTTCTGTGCTGGGCCATCCTTTTGGCCAGTGGCTGTTTTGTTTCCCCGATGTAAGACTGATCACAGACCTCCTGACACTGAACAGCATACACAACATTACTCTGTTTGTGCCGGGGGACTGGATCTTTGGGATGAACCAGTCTTTGCCGTAATGTATTTTGGGGTTTAAAAGCCACTGGGACGTTGTGTTTAGAAAATAAACGTCTCAGTTTCTCTGATACTCCCTCAACATATGGAATGACCACTGGTCTGGGTCTGGGTTCCTCCTTTCACCTGTTGGCTGACTGGGGTCCTGTTTGGGTTTCTTCTCTGCGTTCAGGAAGGCCCAGTTAGGATATCCACATTGCTCTAGAGCCTGTCTTGTGTGGGATTTCTCCTTCTGCCTGGCTCCTGAGCTAGTGGGGACGCTGTCTGCTCTGTGATACAGAGTCCTGATGACTCCTAACTTGTGCTCCAAAGGGTGATGGGAGTCAAACTGCAAATACTGGTCTGTGTGGGTGGGTTTGCGGTAAACCTCGGTTTGCAAATGTCCTCTATCCGAGACTGCGACCTCACAGTCCAAGAAAGCCAACTTGCCATTTTTTACATCTTCTCGTGTGAACTTGATGTATTTATCCACAGAGTTGATGTGGTCAGTAAAATGTTGGACTTCCTGAGATTTAATTTTAACCCAGGTGTCGTCAACATACCAGATCAGCTGGTTTTGGTTGTCAGCAGCAAACTGGTTGATCCACTCTGTGAAGGTGCTATTTAAGAGACTGAGCTGAAAACAGCACCTCAGACTGAGGAAGTCTCTTGGATGAGAGATGAAACGTTTCTAGATTTTTTTTGCTTTGTTTTGCTTTTGTTTTTTTGAATGTCCAGAGGACCAGATTGAACTTTTTTTGGATAAAATGCAAAATAGTTTAACAAACAAACAAAAACACAAGTTCTGACATTCTGACATGAAAGGCCATGGATGATATGCATTCTTACAATAAATGTTAGACCTTTACATTCCATAATAGCAACATAAATATGCTACAGGTTAAAGGCTTTAATACAAATATTATGGCAAAACAAGGCATTGTGAGTTCATAAATCATAACTTTCTGGAATCCCTTTTAGTGTGTCTTCATCTTGGCTTCTTTCTGCTAACAAATCCTTTTTCCTGTTTTTGGTTCTGTTTCCTACGCTCCATCTCACAGCCTGCTTCACCTAAACTCACTTTCTCCAAATCCAGAGCCGGCGCTGCTGTCGTCACTGCACTCGACTGAGCAAAGGTCAACACTTTTAAACCCCGGAGCTTCATTTATCCTCACTGCATGATAATATAAACCCGGAAAGTAGGCAGCGCACACATTAACACACTTAGAAGTATTTTTTTTCCTGCTCAGAAATGGATGACACGTGTGAAAAAGAAAGTTAGTTTAATACTCTGAACCTTTGATTTTATATATAATGAGCCTTATTTATGTTGGATTTTTAAAATGAAGATTGTAAATAAAAGCAGAAAACAGATGAAAACTCTGATCTTCGAGATGTAAAGATCAATGTTTTATGTTGATTCAGTATAATATCCTCAGTGATTTAATGATTTCAATTTTTATTATATAGTGTCAAAAGGAGGAGTGTTTCACAAATATGAAAGCCAATAAAGACAGAAACACACGCCCTCAAAGTGATCATTTGAATCTTTTGAGATTAGATCATGTTATCCATATAACTTTTTTTTTTTTTAAAGAATGGAGTCCTTTTAAGGTGACAACAATCTAATTTAGTCTTGCCTGCTCTGACTAGCTGTTGGTTTTGATCCAAATTAAACTTGGTTCAAAAAAACATCTACAACAGGTAAGATATTAGCTGTTCATAACCTTACAGCAAAACCTCACTTCAAAAGAACTAAACTATCATTTTAAACAATATAATAAACAACCAACCAAAAAAAAAGAGCCATTCTCATTTGATACATCAAAGTTCATGCTCATTAATCCAGGTTAATAATCCAACATCCTGCAGTCAGGTCATCTGGATGGGGTTTTTTTTGTTGTTGTTGTTGTTGTTGAGACATTTCATCCTTTATCCAAAGGACTTCATCAGAGGAGCCAAGGGAGGAAAAAAGAAATTGCCCAGATGACCTGACTGAACGATGTTAGAATTTTTTTTTTTTTACCTTGATTATTGAGCATGAACTTTGATGTTTTGAACCACTTTGGCTATGGCTGCCACAGAGGAGTTGACGGGGGAGAGGGCGGGCCCCAGAAACCATCTTATCACCAGCAGACTGGTTGGGCCACTATGTGAGTGTGCTGCTTGTGGGACTCAGTTTGTTGTGGCTCCTTGGACTGATGAAGTCCTTTGGATGGACGAAATATCTTAACAACAACAAAAAAGAAACCATCCAGATGACCTGACGAACAATGTTGAATTCTCATTTTACTGTTGTTAGCGTCTTTAGACACGTTTGTTTTAATTCAAGTTTGGGATTTGGTTTTCCTTTTATCATAGTAGATCATGAAATACATCCTTACAGCTGAGAAACAAATTGCAACAACCGTTTTCAATCCTTCTGGATGAAATGTTTCTGCTCTCACCTCCTGCCTGAATGTGGCGTTTCATGACGCAAGCCGAGCTGTTTCATAAATAATACAGGTGATTTACTTGGTTAGATCATGTGAAACAACTGTGGAGTGCACACTCTCTAACAGAGGGAGACCATTATAAGCACGCTGCAGATTTCAGTTTTTTTTTCTTCAATTGTTTAACGAGAACTAAAGAGGAAGCTTGGCTGACACCAAACTGAGACCCGGTACATGTCACGCTCTGATAAAGTGCACTTGGAGTGTAGTAAATGACTCTCAGCTACACTGACACCAAACGTTAGCAGAATATGTCTGTCAAACTGGCAGGCATTTAGTGTATTTTTATTATCTTCATCTTGAATCGACTTGACTACAAAAGTTCAAACATTATTGTCCATGTTTTATCCTTTGGCTGCAGGAAATTATAATGTTTGTTAGACAGCTCCACCAACAGATGTGTCTATACATTCAGGTTTGTTCTGTTTGCACAGTCGTTTTAAACCACAGACAACTTTCTCTGAATGCTGCAGATACTTCCTGCGTCTGAGCTCGGCTCAGCTTCCTCTCAGCTCGTCCACTTTCTAATATTAACTTCTTCTCAGGTTTACGAAACAAACGCTTCGGCCTCTCAAAGATCTTCCTAAAATGACCCCAGCACCATAAATAGCCATGTTCCCAGTTCTGTTGCTTCCCCCCACCCCCCCTCCACACTATTATTATTTCCATCTTGACTTAAATTTACCCCTGCTCAGGTCCTGTGACCCTCCACAGCCATGTTTGGTTTCCCCCACTGTTAGTTGTAATTTTTGCCTCTTTTACCTCCACTACATCCCCCCACCCACCCCCCATCCACGTCTCTCTTTTCTGTCCATCCCAGGTTTTATCCCCTCATCACTGATCTCCCTTCATCCCTCCAATCCTCATCTGTTCCCCATAGGAGCAGTGGACTGAGTTAGTGACAGAGAATCATCCCACTGAGTGTGTTTGAGGCACCAGGAGTGAATGAGTGGAGGAAAGAGTGGTGACCCCCAGGCTGAACCTATGCAGACACCCTGAGGAAGATCGCAGGAGGAAGATCAAATAAAAATCCACCTTGAGAGGAGAGTTGGACTGGTGAGTTACCGCTTGTGTGTTGCTCGTAACTCACTTTCCGGTGATGGAGCTTGAGCAGTTTGATTTGCTGCTCACAATCAAACTTAAAGATGAGGAAATACAGAAATTCAAGGCTGTAATCACGTTTAGGAACCATTTATTGGGTAAAGAAAATTGATCCTGAAGTTGGAAAGTTCTTTTTTAAAGGCAATGCACCTTGAGTTAAAAAATGTATAATAATGCATAGGCGTAGCCAGGATTTTATGAGGGGCGGTTCGTTTGAAGAAAAAGTGGACCTGTAGGACTACTCTGATTGGTTCATTGGCGGTGGTACACATAACTTCAAATGTGTAAACAAGCTAATTAGCTAGCTAGTTAAAACACTGCTGTGTGAGGTAAATCTGTGTTACCAAATAGGCGGTTGTGAGTGGAGAAAGAGCAACACACTGAGAGGGGAATAGCGTGTGTGTCCAGTCTTCTATTCAGAACTCATCCCAGACACGAACGAACACTTCGGTACTCCCGAGTCCCGCCCGAACATACACAAAAAAAAAAAAAAAACACCGAAGAAGAATGAAAGACGTCATCCTCTTAAAGGCACAGTACCACTCCTTAACTCTAACAACATAAATGCAAACTAAGCCCGCAAATAATAACATTACTTCAATTGCAAAAATAACTCATCTTTTTACTTTGCTTTGTTAGACATTGTTTTTTATGAATGAAATTACTTCACCTCGCAGTTCTATATCTCGCGGGAGTTGTAGGTGGGACTTCATTGGCAAAGTGGGCGGTTCGTTCGAACCCCCCGAACCCCCCCTGGCTACGCGCATGTAATGTTTGACCAACATTACATTGCTGCAAACTCTATGCAAATATTAGTGTCTTTGCGTTGTTTTATGGCACAACCAACAAGGGGATTTATATGAGAGCGGTATGCTGGTATTAATTTATAGACTCATAATCTGAGTTAAAAGCAAATTCCCTTTATTGTAGGACTCCTAATCCCATCAGATACACTTGGTATGATAGAGCTGAACGAGTTTGCTTTATTGATGCATTAGTCTAAAAGTGAAAATAAGATTCAAACTGTAGATTTTTACATTTTAATGAAGAAGAAGGTTTGCTTGAGAACAGCCGTGAATATTTCTTTTTCTGTATTTTTTTTTTTAATTAGAAAAATCTGGAGAACGTTAATGAAAAACACAGAGGAAAAACTCAGACATACATTTTTCTTTTCAGCAAAAATCACTGATACAGTCCAGAATTTTACAATTGTTAGAAATGTTAAAGGCATTTTCAGAATTTTCTGTGTCAAAACAACATTGACTGTAATCTTTATGTGGATGAGCACTCTGTTGAGATAAATATACAAGACCAAATCCTCAGGCCCAGTTCAAACAAAAAATAACTTCACTTCTCACTAGTTCTAACATCTCTTTCCCATTCAACCCCCTTCCATCTGCCCTCTTCCTCCACCTCATCCCACTATCCTCTCCCCCATCCCTTTCTCCATCTCCTATCCAGATGTAAAGAGCAGTCAATAATCGGATGAGAGCAGATTTGATTCAAAAGGCTTCCCTTAAAATCTCAGCCAGTTGGATTTAAAAACTCACTCTCCTGTCTCGCCTCTTACCCTCCACCTCTTTAACTCCCTGCCTCGCCTCCTGTCGGCCTCCTCTTCTCCTTCTCTGTGCCTGAAATGCACCTCACCATCCCAGAAACTCTGCAGCAGTGATTTAATCACATGGAGTCGCAGGTAACGGAAGGCTAACAGCACGGCATGATCAAAAACACTTAGTGGAGCAGTTTTCAGATTTAAAATCCTCTGTTCAGCAACAACTTTGTTAGTTTTATGAAGCTGCTGAGGTGTTGCACCGTGATGGCCTTGAATCCTAACTTTTTTTAAATTTCAGCTTGTTTCAGGCCATCGTTAGCTCACTTTAGAATGGGAGACAGTGTGCAGCGGCAAAAGACTGAATCAAATCTTTGTTTTGGAGAGTTTCACTCCCGTCCCCTCCTTTTTCTTTAAACAAATTAGAAGCAAATCCACTTGGATGTGTGTTATGACAATGACTCTCATTCAAATAGAGAAAGAACAAATGAGAGATTGGCAGAGGGACAATTAAAATCAAAGCAAGCTCAGATTTTAAGGTAAGGTTGAGGAATTGGTTTCCTGTTTTGTTTTTTGTTTTTTCAAGATTTAGGTTAGAGTTTTGTTGTTTGTCCACACGTTACAACAGATCCTATCCTCTCTGAACTCCTCTACGGTCTGGTTTTGCCTCTGCTTCGGCCTCTTTTCCTGCGTGCTGATTACATTTGTCACACTGTATGAGTTTGACCATTAGGTGATTGGTTTATTTGCCCATTTTAATCATGACATTACCAAATTTAATAGTCATCAACATGATGTGATGGCTCAGCAGAGTGTCAAACTGCACAAACTCTTATTGGTGTCGTGGAGGAAGAGCAGATACGCTCATGATGTTACTACAGGACTTACAGGTTTGTGTGTACATTCGGGGTGAGGATGTGTGCACTCAGGTGTCGCATCGTTCCGAAGAGCAATCTTTTACTCTGAATGTCAAGTTTGACTTTTCATACAGTCTGTTTCTGTGTGGGTGTACGTGTATGTTCACCTGAAGGTGTGTCCTGTGGGTTTCTCTGCGAGTTCCTGCGTATTCACGAAAGTTTGCAAAGTAGACGAGGGCTTGTTTGACTTGCAAAATAGCGCTTACTTGGAGTCTGGTGCTAGGAAAAGATAACAAGCTCAGGTAGGTTTAATTTTCAGCATGAAGTGTAGCACAGGAAGATACAAGAAAAGTATGAATCACTATTTTTGTGCTTTATTTTGTCAATGAAGTTAGTTGATTTTTTCCCCCCAATCGCTTTTCTTAATTTTAGGATTCTAAGCTTCGCTGTTATCTCCACTGGTCTCCTCTGGTGACACCTCCTAAAATCAATCACCATGGGTGAAATGGAGCAACTGAGAAAGGAGGCAGAAAGCCTTAAAGACCAGATCAATGTGAGTAGACTCTTCCAAATCAAAAATTCATTCATTTTCTTTGTGACATTTATTCTTAGAGTATTTAACAATGCTCTCAGAGCACTCCGATGGAATAAAATACACATTATTTTGTAGATCTGATGACCTCATTGGTATGTTTCACGGTGTTGCGCTCCTTTAGGCAGCTCGTAAGGCTGTGCAGGACACCACTCTGCAGGAGGCAGCAGCTGGGGTATCTGTGGTGGGACGAGTCCAGATGAAGACCAGGAAAACTCTACGGGGTCACCTCGCCAAAATCTATGCCATGCACTGGGCCACCGATTCAAAGTAATCATACGAAACACGAGAGGATACCAAATGTTTAACGAGTCAGATAAATTTTGATGTTTTGTTAAACTAAATAAGACAAGCCAGTGTACAAAAAAAAAGAAGAAGGTAATCAAACTTGTAAATATAGATTTGGGAACAACTATTTTTGTACTCAATAATTCTTAAATTGATGTGTTTAATCTTTGACTCCACATTTTAAATGACTCGTTCAGGTTGTGCGTCAGCGCCTCACAAGACGGGAAACTTATCGTGTGGGACAGTGTCACAACCAACAAGGTAAAAAAGATCAAAACAACCTATAAGAGTCCTAATAATGCTATTAAATGTGGAACTTGTGAATTCATCCTTCAAACTGAACCAATTCAACATTTTAAATATGAAATTTGAACCTGGTTTAAATGTAATAAAAAGTATTACTTTTTAAAGCAAAAAATTTGAAAAGCACATCATTGAATGTATTAAGTATTTATTTTATTTTAGTGCATTTTAGCACCGAGTTTGTTCCCTTTTCTTCAAGTTAAGTTAAACATTTAAAATAAGAGACTTTGACATATTTCATTGCAGAAAAACTCTAATATTTTTCTTGCTGAATTAACAAATACCTTGGGACAATTGTCTCTTTTATCTGCTGTTGTAGCCGCTTCTTGTAAAAATATCATTTTAAATGTGTGTATGTACATTAATTAAATCATTGCAAATTCAGTTCATGAATACATATCTCTGGACTTTTAATCATTTTCATGTTTATGCAAATCTTTATCTGTAAATTTGATCACAAATTTACGGCACTAAAGCTAAAAAGATAATTAAAGACATTGAAAAATGTTTTCAGGCTGTTCATATTTCATTTTAAAAGTTTTAAAGACAATCATTGCAAACCATGAAATCAGACATAAAGACAGTCCGTCCTGAACTATACCAAATAAAGCAGTTTCAAAGAGTTTACTCCGATAGTTTCCAGATAGAGCATTATGTAAATCTGAAATACTGGTACACACTCGATGTAAACAAAACACATTTATCTGGAGTACTTTACGCAAAAAATATGAAATCTGGAACAAAATACTTAAAAGCTGGCAGACTTCTCAATCCCGAATGGTTGTTTCATGGATGTCACCACTGAGTGTTTAATCACTTTAGCTGTTTTAGTACCAGCCTAATGTGATATTTGACAATTTTGCTTACTAAACACAACTTATATTTTCAAT